CAAACTGAAATTGTTCAATTTACTTTAATATATAGTTTATATATAATTTATATATAGTTATGTTGTGTTATTGGTTATATATTATTATATACTGTATTATTATATTATATACTGTTATATGCGGTTATATAGAGTAATATATAGTTATGTAGAGTTATTCATTATATTATTATTGACGAAGGTAAGAACCCAGACGAATTCAAGTTTGATGGTGCTGATGAGGACAATGAAATTAGCACAGGCACGTTTACAACCGCTAAAATGATGGAACCTCTGCTTAGTATGTCAACTGAAATGAAACAGATCAAGGTACATTTCGAACGACAGACAGAGGAGTTAAAACAGATCAAAGAACAGTCCGAACGACAGTCCGAACGACAGACAGAGGAGTTAAAACACGTGTGTGTGTGTGTGTGTGTGTAATACGCTGATGTGTGTATGTGGGTGCAAGAGAAATCTAGAAGCGATAAACTTACGCGCCTACCTATTCAACTGCATTAGTGTTGGATGCTTCCTATCTATCCTACCTACAATTAAAATTATGCCTATCTAACCTACCTATATAGCTACTTAATGTAATTGTGTGTATGTGCGTGTGCGTGTGAGCATTCTTACTTAATGTTTAATTACAGAGAAAAACAGAGAAAAAAGAATAAAACGTATCCCAGCCAGGCGTATCTTCTTTGCCACTGAATGAACGAACGTAGCCTGACATCTTCCACGATGAATTCCTTTGGAAGCTTCAACCTGAATAAAATGGATGATATGGAAAACATCTTATTTATTTGACTAATTTAAATGAAAATAGAAAAACGAGCCGCGGTGAAACCCGTCGGAAAAGCCAGCCAACTGGCAAAAAAAAGAACCGCAAAGAAACCGTAAAACGTACCCCAGCAGGGCGTGCATTCTTTGCCACCGAATGAACGAACGTAGCGTGACATCACAACCATTCTGATCGTCCACGATGAACTCCTGGAAGCTTCAACCTGGATAAATGAACCTGAAAAACCTAAATGAATGTAAAAATCTTATTTATTCAATTTAAATGAAAATAACCGCAAAGAAACCGACCGGTCGGCAAAGAAAAGAGAAAAGAAGAGCAAAGAAAGGTATCTGTATAGGATTTATGCTCTATATAACTCTGTATAACTCTGTATAACTCTATACAACTCTATACAACAACTCTATACAACAACTCTATACAACAACTCTATACAACAACTCTATACAACAACTCTATACAACAACTCTATACAACAACTCTATACAACAACTCTATACAACAACTCTATACAACAACTCTATACAACAACTCTATACAACAACTCTATACAACAACTCTATACAACAACTCTATACAACAACTCTATACAACAACTCTATACAACTCTATATAACTCTATATAACCATGCATACTACCACATTCAATCAATAAAAATCCCACCTGCTGAATGTATGATGTGAAACAAAACAAAAACAAACACAAAACAAAAATCACACCATCAAGTAGAGTAAAAGAATAGACGTCCCTAACCTACCTATGTAACTAAATTACCTTATGCCCTAGCTTACCTATATAATAAATTAATTTTTACCTCACCTACCTATGCTTCATTAACTTAACTCAAGACTCATGAAGAAAGAGAAAAAGGAGTAAAACAGAACATAAAATACTACCACACAAACAAACCTGATGTACGTATGTATGTATGAGCAACCGTTAAAGAACCCACCTAAAATTAAAAAAATACACCTACAATCATTCAAACCACCTACAAACATGCAAACTTTATATAACTCTATATAACACTATATAACTCTATATAACTCTATATAACTCTATAAATTCTATATAACTCTATATAACTCTATATAATAAAATAAATAAAAATAAAAAAATCTTAAAAATAAAATAAATGAGATCAGAAAGACTGCTTCAAGCGAGGCAGAATGCTGATCTGATTTTCACGTTGTCTCAGCTCCTCTATTTATACTCGTTTCAACCATACATTCTCATCATTTCAATCATTCGCATCAGTAAAAAACTTGTTTAATGTATATACTGCACTATTATACAGTCTTAACCACAATGCTAACCGTACTAAATTGAAGTGATCGAACGAACGGCTTCGAAACTTTCTGGTTGGCTGGTTGAATCTGCTATATTGCTTTTCATATAAACATATAATCTAATATAATATAATTTAATTATTTGTATACATGGATTCCAGTCACTTTATATATATATAATAAAAATTCATTATAAAAGCAACAGTAATCAGTGCTATATATGTAAGCACGCAGTTCAAATTTTTCGGGGAGAATTCAAAATTGTTTGAGACCACACCTTGCTTAACATCCAATTCCAAGCCGAGCCAAGCTGAGCCAATATGCATAGATTTATAAGCGCTTTTATGTTAATATTTTGCTCGTTATGTTTATATATTTTATAAATTCATTATAAAAACAACAGTAATCATTTCTATATATGTACGCACGCAGTTCAAATTTTTCGGGGAGAATTCAAAATAGTTTAAGACCACACCTTGCTTAACATCCGATTCCAAGCCGAGCCAAGCCAAGTTGAGCCAATATGCATAGATTTATAAGCGCTTTTATATTAAAATTTTGCTCGCTTTTTAAACGAATATCCCAATATAACAAATTCTCCATCCTATTTTAACTTTCTTTGATGCTTTTTAATCAGTCAGGTCACAAAAATCATTATCGATATCGCAATGAAATCAATTTGAAATTTTTTTTTTTAATTTTTGATAAAATTTTTAAATTGTTGATAAAAATAACTAGTATATATAGTGTAGTTAAACGTTTAAAATTTTCTGAGAGAATTCGAAATAATTTGAGACTACACCATAACACAATTGTACAATTTGAATGTGTAAATACAACATTATAAATGTATTATAACTACGTGTATATATCTATCTATTTCTTTATTTAGTTCTGCCTGTGTATGATATTTTGTCAAATTTATTTGATAGGAATTGAATATAACCTTTATACCGGCTGATTAACTACCATGCAGTAAAATAACTACTGTTGACACCATTTCCTCCAACGATTTCGCAACGAATTGCCCATACCATCCAATTAGAATAAACTCTTTCAATCAAGTATAATTAGCATATATGCGGCTAAGGGGTAGATAGCATATTATGTACCTACATGTTCCATTAAGCTAAAAGAATGTTAAAAGGTCGATATTAATAGAAATAGTAAAAGTAATCAGGCGTTTAGAAAAATTTCAATTTTGTCGCTTCATAAAACTTTTCAGAATAGACGAAATAAAAGACGAAGCAAAAAATTATGTTGATTATCACCGAAGTCAATTTATTGCAAGGTAAAAATCTCACAAATTATGAAAACGGGCATCACATTGCATTTCATAAACTGCTCAATATATTCACAATAGTCTAAAAATTTTATATCCTAAAAAAATTAATCTGAAAACAATTACATACTAAAAATTTTTAAATTTTACTTAAAAAATAAATAAACAACTGAAAAACTTTAATTATTTAATTAATTAACACCGTAAAAGATTACAAATGTATCATACATGCCAAAAAAAGTCAATAATTTATATGCAATTTGTTAGAAAATATATTTTTTCAATTTGATAAATTATTTCGAGGTTATTTTTAAAAACATCTGCAGTCTTGAATTTCATAAACTAAAATATCAATTTTTAATTCGAAACTCATTTGAACGGTTTAACTTTTTTAAGTACCGTTCCGCCGTCCTCCAAGCTAAAGAGCGACGAAGTGATGTGAACTTCCTTCAACTTGCTACTTTTTCTCTTCAACGTCGGTGGCTGAGGCGAAAGTTCAAAATCATCTTCAGTTTTCACCTCTGTCAGCGATTCGTCGCGTAGGTTTGGCGTGAAAATTTTCGCAACGTGTTTCATCCTTCTGTGAGAGTTCGTTCCTTTGAGCATTTTATTTCTGCTCATAGAATGCTCGTTTATTGAATTCGGCTCAATGATTGTGTCGCATTCCAGCGATAAATTATCAGACGAGGTTGAATTCGATACAATCGTCACTTCGCCGTTCGATTGCTTGGATCGACAAGTTGTTTCAAATTTTGCTTCTTTAGTATCGTTGGCTGATTGTTGAAACTGATCAGAACAATTCTTTTTTAAATTTTCCTCTTCTTTACTCGAGCAATGTACATCAGCTGCTAACACATCTGCACTGGAGTTTTCATCAACTTTCTCGCAGTGCAATTCTTTCTGAGTCGGCCCAATTTCAGTGAACTTCACTTTACTAAGATTGCTGGTTCCAGAATTTTTTTCAATTTTAACGCTGTTCAGTTTTTCAAAATTCAACTTGTATTGAAGTTTCGGCGGAGTGATTACTTTTATAATGACATTCTTGTTAACATCTTTCTTAACGACTTGGATGGAGCTGTTGTGTGCTTGCCCGGGCGGCCAGAAAATTTTTTGGTCCAGTCCGTTGTTAGACGTCATCCTAAAATTATTTATAAGAGAGGAACCGTTAGATTGATTCTTCATCAGACTTGTATGGAAAATATTTGGATTAATCATTGAATTGTTGTCTAATATTGATAAATTACCGTGAACACCATGTAAATATCCATTCGAACCGTTACTATTTAGCAGGCTGGAGTTCACGCCATACGGATCGTCGTTAACTGACCAGCAGTTACTGGACATGAAGGAATTATTCTGAAAACTGAGATGCGGGGATACGGAGCAAGAATTATTTTTGTCGCGATCGGAATATCTGGAGAAGCCGGACCAGGACTTTCTCGGTCTGCCACGAGATCTTATAGCCATGTCTGAACTAGGTGGAGATTGCGATAGCTCATCTTTGAATTTGTTTGTCAGGCTGTTAAGGCTTGTGTTACTCAAATCAACGTTATTAGCCGGCATCAAATAATTATTCTGTGACATGGGTGGCAGAAAAGTTGTCTGCGAAGCCGTCAAACCATCAATATCTGTAATCTCAATGTCCATGTCGAACAACTTCAACCATTCTCTGAACTTGGCAGTAGGAAACGATATGGGCTGACACATAACTTCGTGAAAGTACCTCTCTTTCTCGAACCCAACGTATGGCAGTTGAACTCCAGTTGAACAAGAACTGATGCATGTTTTACATTCGTTCTCCAATATCAGATAGTCCATGTACTTGCAAATTGCTTCGTTGACGCTTGATGGACGCTTAGATGTGTCGAAAATGAACTGCGTACGATGCTTGTTGCTGGACGCCGAAATTTTTGGAAAAAATTTACCTACTCGTTCGTTTAAAGAAATTTTGTTGATAAAGCTTAAATTTTTTTTGTCGTTCCATATATTTCCATGTTTTTCTATGTTACTTACGGGCGCATTTAGTTTAATGGTTTCAATATAAGATGGAAAGGATTGTTGGTGTTGTTGCTTTTGTTGTTGTTGCTGCTGATGTTGGGAGTTGAATTGTTTTTGATTGAACTGCTGTTGAAGAGAAAAAGATTGATGATGAAACTGCTGGAGTGGCTTTTGCACTGGCTGAACCGTTTGCACTGACTGTAGAGGTTGTTCTTGTTGATGATGAACTTGGAGGTGAGTCTGATGTTCCAGAGGATTTGGCATCTGGTATTCGGCGTATGAAAACTGATCTGATCTTGAATATGATCGCCCAGGTGGTCTGCCAGCTCTATGTTTTACTTTTTTAATACATTTCCCTCTGCCTTTTGATTTTAAAAAATTTTCATCTCCGTTCATGTAATTTTTGAAGTAATATTCTTGTCCATAATTAAAACTAGTACCAAATTTTCCGCTATCTGAATAATCGTCGGGCATGAATTGAGAATTTTCATCGTCGGAAATATCGCAAGGTTTTTTGACTGAATCACTGAAGTCGTATGAGTTCATATTATTGTGGTACGATGCCATGAGTGTGGCTTGTGCGCTCATGTTTGCTTGTCTCGATGTTTCTAGCGAGTGAAATGTTTTAGATTCATCGAGCTCACCATCCTCTTGTCTGTCGTCTTTGTAACATATAGAAGAAAGGAATGATGTTGCTTGATACGTTTCTTGCTGGTATTCTGAATTTACGTAAGTGCTGCTGTCTTCGAGGGATTTCAATTTTTGAACTTTTAGGTTTGAATCATTTTCACTCATCATTAAGGAGTTGTTTTGCTTGTCGAGATTCTCGTTGTTGAAATTAACCTGACTCATTTGTAAATTATCAACGCTTGAATAATTCGGTGTCATTAACTGAGGCTGTTGATGTGGCTGCGTTTGTTGTTGCTGCTGCTGCTGATTATTATTATTATTATTATTTGCCACTCCTGTAAAATCAGCTCCATTCAGTTCAGAGGACATAAATGCATTGTCAGAGTCCATGTAGAGACCTTGGATGTAGTTGCACATGTTGTTCGAATTGTTGTACGAATTTGTGTAGTTGCTCGATTGTAGCCACGATGAATCAAAGAAATTATTTGGAAATTTGGAAAAATCTTCCGGTATATTTAAATCAGTATTATTTTGCAGCAATTTAGAAACTTCGAATAAACTTACTTGACTTGTTTGTGAATTAAAATCAGTTAGGTCATGATTGGGTTTGGAATTATGATGATCTAAGTCCATGTTGATTTCTTTGAAATCAATGCAGCTAATATCACCGAGGTCTTTAGGGAGAGGCTGGTTTTTCAAAGAGGTTGAAGAAAAGCTGCAGTCGATTTGATCAGTGTGGAAGTTAAGTTGACTGGTTGAATCGTGAGGTAAGTCTAGAGATCGCCAGGGCTCAAATGAGTTTGTTTGGAAGTTAATCTCCGTGTTGCTTGACATTATTGATTCGAAGCATTCATTGTCGAAGGTCGAATTTTTATTTTTCAAATTGTCAAAAATAGAGTTGTTTTTGAGGACTGTTATATGTGATTGCTCACTTGCAAGTTCGTTTGCATGCATCAGAATGTTGTCGGTCAGTGACGAATTTTCTTGTACATCAGTTTTCGAATTGAGTAACATGAAGGAGTTTGAGCCAGGGCAGTTCTCTTCAAAATTATTCGTCAAATTATGCAAACTTGATAGAATGTGACTTTCGCGATGGTCGCTTTCCGACGAACAGTAAGCAGATTCGACGAAATTCTTTCTGGTGAAACTCGAAGATAGATCTTTCGCTGCTTCATCACACCTTCCAAAGGAGCAGTCTTGTAAATTATCAGCAGTGTTTGAAAAGTTGAAATGATTGATGTTTGTGTTGTCCGCTGAAAAGTCGCCAAAAGAATTTTTCGCCGAGTCGCCAGTGGCAAACAATCGCTGCGCTGTTTCATTCAGTGGCGAGAAATGCATAACTTCATTCTGCTCGGTGATTTGCCGTTCATTGTCGTTGAACACTAAACGATGTAATGCAATAGTTTAAGTATTTTTCATTTATATTTATCTAGTCATTTTTAATCTTGACAAACAAGTTTATTTTGCTAGTTTTAAAAAATTAGTGTATTGTATAAGTTACCTTATTTTGCTAGTCTTAAGAAATTAAATAAGTTACCTTAATTAAATAAATGATAAATACACTTAAAAAAATGCATGACATTGACTTACTAATAAAGGCAGACAAGCGGAGGTTAAAAGGAACAAAATTATCAAAATGAAACTTTAAATACAGAAATAAGCATCTCCTTTGACAGAATTGTTTTCATTTTATTCAGCAAATGAAAACAATTTTAAATTTGACGTTGTTGCCTAGACGCTGAAACTTTCACCTACAATCGTTATAAACCAAAAAAACAATGATTAAAACTTCTTTTTTCCATCGTATAAACTCATAAAAATGAAACTTCGAGAATGATTATCAATTTAAAATGATATTTTTAATAAAAATTTAACAGATATAATCAATTTTATTAAACTGGTAGCCATTTAATTCACAAATCCAGCCATTATCAAGATTACCAAATTTGTTACAAACCAGTTAACAAACTAATTGCTTCCATTGAATAACGCAAGAATAAATGTTAATCCTTTTAAAAACACTTCATATTCTATATCATATAAATCAAAAATTAAATTAACAAATATTATGATGCTATGTATATAATATACATATATAATTATATATATGCTAATACATCTATATGTATTAATGCATAGTAAATAAATTATTTTTTCAACGTTCTCCATATAAACTTAGATTCACTTTTCGCTTGCTCACCTTTACAAAATACAGGTGTTGCAAATTAAATGATAAACATCGCTGAGACATTTTAGTTCGAAAAATTGTTTAATTATTTATCAATTAAATATAGAATTTTCTAGAATAATTCAAATAAAATTTTGAATTAAATATTTTTTACTTTTTAATAAAAAAATACTCAAAAATGCGATTCGCGAATGTGAAATCGATCATCATATTCCCAGTTCTACTGTTTGCAGTCACAAAATTTGACTGGGTGATCTCTGCGAGTAGTAGCACCTCAACGCAGAACGTTCCGACCGTTCCGACAGCAGAGGAATCTACGACAACCACAACGACACAGCCGCCGCTGGACATCCCCACTACTACAGCAAACATTTTCGATATTGCAGCCTACTACAATCTGACAAAGAAGAGTTTGTATTCCAATTTTTGTATATATATTATTTATTATTATATTATAATAAAATGTGCATTATTTAGAATTAAATAATAAATGTGGGTGAAACATAAAGCATTTCAAACACGTTCCCAACTAAATTAAGCATTCAGATTTGGATAGTGTTTATATTTATATTAGTTAGTGTGAAATAATTTTTTGTTTTAAATTGAATTGACATATTTTATTAAATTAGCGGATTAACTTGGTTTGTTTATAGTTAGTTTATTTGAATTTTAAGTAATCTATAAATAAGCAAATCAAATTTTTATGCATACTAAAAATTTTCACTAAAATTAACCTTCTTCGTTGAATCATTTATGTTATTATTATTAATTATCTCTCAACTAATTATGATATTCTTATTATTAATATTGTTATTATTAATATTATCATTATTATTAATTATCATAATTAATAAATTATGATAATCACACGCCTACAGCCTGCTGCCACATTCAGACTCAGTGCCTGAACTGCACAAACTTCTACAATGTCAATGGTTAATAATTAATTAATAAATAATTAAAAATCATGTAATAATATAAATATTATGAAAAATAATTATAACCAGGGGCTTCTAACTGAAGGGGTATGAGGTAGTTTTCTCCAGTGGTGAATTTAAGGGGTGAGCCATTGTGACCGTAATTTGTGTTAAAATTTAGTTGAAAACGAAAAAAGTAGTTTTTGCAAAGAAAAATTGACATTAAAAGCCTAAAACTAGATGTTAAGCAATATTTTGACCACATTGCCATAAAAGTTGGCCTCTGTAAAAATGTTGGCCCACCCTCCGGTGAAAATTGTCAAAGTGGTCTAGATCCATCACTGACTGCCTCAAGTATGAGTCGGATGAGAATTTTAAAATTTTAAAAGAATTTTAAATTGTTGAAACTATTTAAATTCGTGTGGCTAATATTAAGATGAAGGCCGTTTTTTGCCAATAACTTTGACCGGTCCACACTTTTAAATTTATATAACGAAAATTCTAAATCAACTATAAATTTACCAGAAAGGGATTCTCATCCCAACATTTTGTAGTTGGAGGGTATTGTTCATTTTAATTTTTTTGGTTTAATTTTTTTGAGATCTTTATTAATTCACCATATAAGTATCAAGATACCAAAATACTTACCTCGCCGCGAAATCATCAATAGAAAAATAGTAACAACGCGAAAATTCTGACAAAACATCAAGACCGACCATATAACAATTACGAACCCAACAACCGAATTCAGGCATAAGATACTGCTGTCCGAAATGTGCCGGTTATGCTCTGGTCACTGACCTGATATGCTCTTGCACCCCGTCTGGTGTCTTCGACCCGTCAATCGTCCAATGCAAAATCAACAAAACCCACGTTGTCGGGAACTACATCCCTTGGAGACCCAGTTACTACAGGTCCTCGACCAATTTCATACACGTTCCACTAATTTCCGTCTCTTTGGCTGTCGTCGTCGTTTTGGTTTTAGCCAGTTTTTTGGATATTTTATTATTGCGATTTTGAACGGTGATGGTGTGATATTTTTTTTTTATTATTTTTCGTTGAATGTTTGAGTGAACAAAAGAATAAAAACACTATGAGTGAATCTATTTTTAATTATTATTACTAATTAAAAACCGTTTTATATATTGACATTTAGTTGGTTTGTGTGGTGGCATTTTTATGACGCAAGAAATTGGATATGTTGTGTGTTTTTTTTCTGTGCGTGTGCTACTTTGATATGTGTTTTTTTTATACTCCATGCTTTTATTTTGATTGACTTTGACTGTACTATCGAGTTGAATTGTTTTTTTTATCAAACATTTGAAAAAATTGTCTGACAAACTCTAACGTTTGACTATCCTAGCGGTGTATAATTGGATGGATGAATGAATGAGTGAGTGAGTGAGTGAGTGAGTGAGTGAGTGAGTGAGTGAGTGAGTGAATGAATGAATGAATGAATGAACGTACGGAATGAACAAACGAATGAATGAACGAACGAACGAATGAACGAATGAAGAAAAGATTGAATGAAAGATTGAATTCAATATTAACTAAATGAAAGAATAGTGCTCGTACGTATGAATGAAAAAATTGACGAATGAATACACACACACACAAGCACACACACACACAAACACAAACAAATATAAATACAGAACTGAATATTTTAATACATATTACTGAATGGTATTTGATTGTACCATTACAATTAATATCAAAACGAGCTAAAATTAAAAAACCATTTTGGAAAGAAGAAAAAATTATCTATGTAAGATTTATGGTTATGAGAACTACAGCCAGTTCAAGAGCATGGGTGATATGAGGATGAAGATGTTTAACGGCAAGAAGTTTGAACATCTGCTTCGCAGACCTGATTCTAAAAAATAGAAAGTTTATCGATATTTTAAAAGAGTTCTGAACAGATTAAAGGTGATTGAACATCGATTGGTTATTCAAATTATTTTATGGTAAAATTTGGTCGAGATGTTACTGCTGTTGAATTATCATTGATGATTTTTGGTGAATGGTAAGCGTTAGAATGTTGGGAAAGTTGACTATAATTGAAATTTAATTTCGCACTCTGAAGCCGAAGTTTGAAAAATTCACATTCAAGTGGCTCAGATGGTATTCCAAACATTCATAACATATGCTAAATCTAAATTATTTCAATCATTTCCGAGCTGGAAAGCTTGTATAATCTAAAATTTTTAATGCAAATAGCTAAAATTGAATGGAGAAACAAAAAAATTGTTAAAAAATTATTTAAATAGATTTTTTTTAAAAGGAATGTTATTTGTTTTGGTCACGTTTCAGAACAAAAGTATATCCAAACCAATTATAAATAGACTATTTTACTTTTAACGAAGTATTTAATTGCAGAATCTCATCCAAGAATAAAAAAAAACTAAAACATGAAAAAAAACTGAAACCGGTCAGATAGGCACCAACCGCTTCCTGCTGCTGCAAGCCACACTTCTTCACAATTTCTTCACCCACTTCACTCCAGTCAGAAATCTACTGAACGGAACCATTAACTTTTCTCATACCCAGCCAGATGTTTTGAGTTGTGTGCATATTCATTTTAGATAAAATGTGACGGAGTTTTGATAATTCGTTCCAATTTCTGAGTTCAAAAACCTTGGCTCTCTGATAGTAGCATTCTATGGCACAGCTAACAAAGAGTCTGTCCTGTTTGCAGAGTCTTCGCAGAATTTGGTGCTTCCGTCATCGTTTCCACATGCGCTTCTCATATGAACGACTGGCGGTTGTAGCAACGGTTAATTTTTAGTTGGATTATGTGTGGTTGAACAGAGGTCTCAATGAATGAATGTTGCAAAAACTTTAAAAAATATGAAAAATTTTCAGATGTTTTGACGAAAAATCTAACAAACAGGTATGATAAGTGAAAATTACGTTGTTAATGTCAATCATATTTTATAATAATAATAATTATTATTATTATTATTATAAAATTTATTATTTATATAATTTATTATTTATATAATAATAATAATAATTATTATTATTATAATAATAATTATTATTATTATAATAATTATTATTATTATTAGAGTTAAAATTATTATTATTATTACAATTTACTCTTTAATATAATCCAGAGGCGTCACCTCGCGCGAAACAACGCATCACCCACATTATATGTGCTGCATGTAAAAGATGGGAGTCACTTTGAAATCGAACCTGGTCACTGCTAGGCACTATACCGCTACACCATGGCATCGCGCCGTAATATGAAATGAAAAGCCTAAAAACTAACCCAAACATAACAACAAATATTGACAAAACATTTTTTATTCAATTTAAATTTATTTTTAAACAATAATTTTATAAATTATTTTCAAAAAGTAAAACTGAATAATCACCCTCAATCAACTTTCATCGTCTCAACTCAACAAATTGCCTAATATTTGAAGCTGAATCATGGGAAATGGGTCCAAATTAATTTGCTTCTCGTTAACTCATTTCGTAATTACCGTGAATATTATCGTTTCTCATCATTTCAGTCGGATTTTACGACGAAATTAGATCAAAAGCCTTAATTACAAATAGGCGTATAGGCGCAGTTTTTATCTTCCTCCATTCACTTTACCGAATTGGTATAATTATTCCGATAAACAAGTCAAAAAATACAAACTCCATTTTTATAATGCTCATTAACATAAATTATGATAATTAGTTGGTTGCCAGATAAATTGTGAAATGGTTAAGTGGCTTGGTTCTGATGTAGAAGACCTGGGTTCGACTGCATAAAGATTCTTACTTATTATTATTATTACGTTAAACAAAGGCGAAGACGAAACGTCCCTGTGCCTTCTCAAAACTAAGACAATTTTAAAACAATAAATTAAATAAACCTATGAGTCTATACTGAATAAATTTAAAATAATTAATGTTCTTATAAGTCAAATAATGTATTAAACCTTGTAAAATGAAAAAAAAAGATAATAATAAAAAAAAAACACTGATAAAAAAAAATTGAATATATCCCAATCTCACAAATAGCCAATACTTATCACATGAAACGTTTGTTCTTCTTCCTAATTTCTCGTCTCTAATTCTTTCAGAACATTGGCGACCATCGACTTCCACAAAACCCGATCTTTGTAAGAGTTGAAATGTGGTGATATTCAACAAGTCACACAATGTTTGTTTATTTGCTGTGTGTGTGTGCGTGTGTGCGTGTGCGTGTGTGTGTGTTGTTGGTTTTATTGGAAATAGTTAGGATAGAAATGTTCGAAGAAATTAGCTGGTAATAGTTTCCTAAAAAAAAGATTCATTTGTTTGTATGATAGTGCGATAATTATAATGACTGTTGATGATTGCTTCGGTTAAAAAGAAGGAAACTGTGCGGTACTTAAATGATTTTTTCCCCCGAATTAAGTTATCATCATCGTTGTCATCATCCTCATTTTCATCGTTATCCAGTTTGAATTTGTGTATATACGTGTTTTGATGTAGTTTTAAAAACTAATTTTAAGAAATAAATAAAAATAACAATACTCTATGATGATAATAACATCAAAAAGAACAATAATAATAATTATAATTTCTAGCATCTGCATAGTAGTTGAAGAGTTGATCAGATAGATGTACGTGTCAGTAAGCTGGTTTCATG